TTCGTTTTCTGCATGCATTACGTTGTTTGCGAATGTCCAAGTCGTAAATGGAGACTGTTCCTGCAAATGGAAAGTGCTTATTTCAGTTAGCAAAAATCTGATAAAGAAAATATTTTGTTCACCGCTTCTAATCAAAAGAAAAACAAAAACAAATGCTTTCAAGATGAATTAATCAACATTACACACCTGCAGTGGGAGCTGTAATTCCGGAGATAACAGAAAAGGTAGTGCTCTTCCCAGCTCCATTATGGCCCAACAAAACAGTGACCTGAAACAAGCGAATCATAATCAACACAGAAAAAAAAGGAGAAATGTCGAGGGAAAAACAAATGTCGCAAAAAAATTTATTCGTTTCTTACCTGTCCAACATACGCATCCATCGACATCTCATCCACAGCCCTTTCTCCGGTAGATGACCAAACCTATATGGAGAAATTGCCATTTACTCAAACCAATACTATAATAATTTTACTTACCTTGATCAAACGATTCACGGAGATACCGGCACGAGTCTGTAGCAATCCTTCATCAGTTTCTGTATTGCCCTCAACATCATCCAAACGAGTTCCAGACGAGCCAAGATACTGAAACAACTTTTTGAGCCCGCATTCTCTGCATTAGGAAACTAGCTTTGAAAGAACTCACACTACCACCAAAAGGCATCTTAAATAGCGTGAAATCTTGATCACTCAAGAAGAAATCGAAGAACAACGTTGCCGCACTCATCCATACAATATCAAACATCAACATGATTATAGCAGCTCCAACAGTGAAATTAAACGATCCGTCCTCGAATACATTCCACCACGACAACACTCTCCCTTGAGAAAAAATAAATAAATAAGTCTTGTCGGTGAAAATACGCTGGAAAGTCTACCTCTATTCATATAATCAGCAATGCCTTTCAGAGCATAAGAGAAGGCAGCGTTAGGATTCAACGACCAGAGAGTACAGTAGAAGATTTTGTCAACTTTTGGGGCTTTGAGAGGTGCTCCAACAAGTATCACCCATATGATGATGATCACTATAATAAACAAGAGGTAATCGCATACACACTGGATAATAGAGCCAAAAAATAAGAAAAATTTGATTTAACAATGTGCACAACAAGTAAAAGGGCAAGAAAAGAAGTGAAATTATAAATTTAGCATGATTAGCGACAACCTTAGCTCGAATGCTTACCTTTCAAAACCGTATTGGGTGCCCTGAAGATCGATGATATCAGCGCAGAAAATACCACTGCTGATATTCCATACAGGATGATTACAAAGAGGAAGAGAGCCACGTTCACAGGCTGGAAGTGATACGTAAAAAACTAAATTTCAAACTTCAAAACAAAATTGAGAAAAAGTCGGAATAGAAATGGATAATTCCCACTTTTGAGATATGACTCACCCCGAGCATCGTAGCTATAGGAATCGAGCATACAAGCAAGACGAAGAGGCATTTTACAGAAGCGTAGAGCACATGAGACAAGTAAAACGTAGGTGTCGACAAACCCATCACGGACAGAAAATCCTGGAGAGAATCAGATAAAAAATAAGAAGCTTATCGTAATAATTGTTGAAAAACCAGTCCAAGACCTTGACAGTGCTCCTCTCACTTGCGATCTCCCTGGCTGTGTGGATAACCAACACAAACGCACAAAGACCCCAAACATACGAAGCGATGGA